TGGTAGGGTATGAAAATAAGTCACAGGGCCTATAGAGATCAAGTTCTGGGGCGAGAACTTGAAGATGAGTTCAGATTGTTAATAAGGCTGTGAGAGTGGGTTTGCAGTCCACTATGAGGACTTGTGCTTTGGGATTCAAGAAGAAAGACTGGAACTTGGAGTGGAGATCACAACTCACTGGAAGGAAAATCACAGTAAGATGAAACCTGGGCCCCAGGCCACACTCGCAACATGTAAGTATAAACTCTGTCCTCTCCAAGAGTGCCAAAAATAATTAGATTCTGGGGTCCCCCAGCAACCTCTCCTCTGTCCTGCTTGCTCTTAGTGAAATTATATCCACCACATCAAGCAACACTTAGTTTTCTGGTTTTGCCTGGAGCGATAGCACAGCAGCCAACCAAGATCCGACTCCTCTGTCCCTCTCGGAGAGCCCAGCAAGCTACTGAGAGTATCTCGCCCGCACAGCAAAGCCTGGCAAGCTCCCTGTGACTTATTTGATATACCAAACACAATAATAACAAGTCTCACAATGGAGATGTTACTGGTGTCCTCTTGAGCAAATCAATGAAAAACGGGAGGACAGTGCTATAGAATGTTTCATGCAGCACACCCTTACATTTAATCTTAAAATCTCTTAACACAGAAGCTATTATCCTCATTTTTGTAAAGGAGGCACCTAAAGTCCATGAATATAATGAAATATACTGTTTCCAAGAGGTCTGGTGTAAGGGACGAAGTCTAAACCAAGTTTCCGATTTTCTGATATCTTTCAGATCATTACAACTGAGAATCACTCTCCATTTTAGTGACTTGCGAAGTTTCAGCTGAGGTCCTTTGTGGGGAATAAACCGATCAGAAAATGCATATTCTCTCCTTGGGTTGTACGAGTGACATACAGGCAATCTCATAGACTGATTTTTGCATATGACAGAGGATAATTTAACTGTCACTTTTAAGTGTGAGTATGTCATTAAACTTGCTAAAATTTGATGTTCATGAATATGTTATTAAAATATACCAAAGACTCTAATTCGCATTTGTGCTAAGAAGCACTGCTTGGTGGGGACTGGGAATGAAATGGAATTCTCCTAAAAAAGAAAGAGCAGAACTCATCAGTCTAGATCTTAGGCATCACCTAAGTGCAACATAACGATTGAGAACCATGACTTGATGATCAGTGCTCCAACTTTTTTTTCCTCCTGATCAAACTAAGGAAGATCTTTCCAGTCTACATTCACACTTTCTCATTCTAAGCACAACTTCAGATTGTAACACAGCAAAACCTTAGATTTCTATTGACTCAGGAATCACTTCCTGTTTGTTCTACTGAACAGCCCCCAAGACTGAGGAGAAAAAGGGTTAGGTCAGGCGACATAACAAATCCCATCCAATTATGTATTATTACACGACTTGGCCACTGGGGCCAGGACTGCTTTAAAGGGAAAGAAAGGCAGATATTTTGTTTGTTTGTCTTCGGGCCAAATCTGGTCCTGCTCAAAGATTTCTGCTGGCTCTGCATTCAGTTATCATTCCAAGTTGTGCTAGGGAGACCTTACAGGATGCTGGGAATCCAACCTGGATGGGCCAAGAACAAGGCAAGTGCCTTACTTGCTGTACTATGTCTCTAACAGAAGAGTTTTTAGATTAGGTCTATCAGTTGTGCGAGTACCATTGATCTTTGGCAGAGGAACCTACTTGGAGGTGGAACCAAGTAAGTAACTCCTTTTCTTATTAGAAGCACTACATTTGGCAATGTCTTTGTTGAATAGTTTCCTCAAGTTATTAGGAAATTAAATTAACTTAGAAAATATTTTTAATTGTTGAAAAATCCCTTTAAGCAGGTAATTTGGTAAGGGCTGGTTTGAGGAAGAGGAGCTGAGTTTCTGATAAAATTTATGATGGGTATGTGCTGCTCATGTTTTCTTGATTCTAGCCTTCCTAGAAATTATTCACTGTTCTTTTCTTGGCTAACTTTAGAGAATCAGCCTAGGTACAACAATGCATCCTCTACTGTAGACCTATCTCAGCTATAACCAGATTGCTACAGTAGTATATATAATAAATGTGAGGTGTAATGATGAGCCTGTCAGACCAAGAATTTAGAGACAAGTCCCAATCCTTCTCATTGACTGACTAGCTCTGTGACTTCACTGAACTCTTTCGCTCTAAGAAACAAAATGATTTCTGAGATGTCTTCAAACTTTAGCATACAAAGGTCTTAACGATCATCCAAATTGATATATATGTATATATACATATATGAGTAAGGACAGGCTGCTAAAAATCTCAAGACTGGAACAAATGGAGATGTTACTGCCGCCTGCTTGAATAAATCGGTGAACAACAGGATAACAGTGATAGAGTGATATATATTTGCATATATATATTTAATTGAATCACCATGAGATACAGTTACAAAGTTGTTCATAATTGGGTTTCAGTCATGCAATGTTCATCGCCCTTTTCTTCACCATTCTTAAGGAGAATTTAGTAGGAAAAGTGAAAAAAAGTGCAATCATATGCAATTATATTAGCCAATTGGAATTCTATGACTTAATGGGGGGCTGGTTTTGCCTGGAGCTGACTTTCTTGAGCCTTATAGTTAAGTTATTTGACAATATTCATTTAGCAATTCTAAGCAAAATGAAAATAACCCCTTTTGCCCTGAGAAAATGTGGTTCTGAATCAAGATCAGAGGGTTAAGAGAGGGCAAGTTAAGAAGATAACAGAAAGCCTAGATACTTCCCTAACTGGCAACACATAGAAGATAAAACATATCAAACAAACTGTCAAAATAGAATGCTTAAATCTCAGACACACTCACAAAGTTCTGTTTCCAAACTACATTTGTCTACTCCTATCAAACAGATGAACTAGACCTTAGGCAAGTGGGGACCAGGATTTTATGTAATGATGCCTAAGGTAGTGTTCTAACAGCACCACTCTACTTTGGAAATGGGACGCAACTCATTGTGGAACCAAGTAAGTTGTGTTTTACTTCAGTCTGTACTTTACCTTGGAGATGTAGTGTAAGTGGTATTTCTTGTTATGTCCAGAAGTTCTAAACTGCAATTTCATTATGCTTTTATAATATAAGTAAGGGCATATTTTGAGTCAATGCCTTAGGTTTGTCTTAAGAAAATATTATATGTATGCTTGAAAATTGTAATGCTACTTCTACAACTGCCTAAATAAAGCTTATGGCCACCTGGTCCATATTGGGACCGGGAAAAAAGAATAGTTTTACGTGAAAAAAGTCTCTCCGTTTTATAAGGTCACTCTTAAAAGAAAGATGGTTAGAAAGAAGACAAATATGGTATAAATTTAGATAAAGAGAGTCTACCTCTTATTCCCTCTAGCTGAGAACTTGAGTTAGACCAACATGTCTGGCTCAGACAAAATAATCCCCAACGTCCAACTGAGACCGGGTCTGCCAAGAGAGTTGCTCTGTATTCATCTCCCAGGTTAACCCTGAATCTAAGACTATGCACAGCTTCAAGAACCTACACCCAAAGTAGAAACAGCCACCCACTAGAGGACAATAAATAAGTAACAGTTCTCTCCAAGAGAGTTTGTCCATATGTAGTTTGGAAATCCAGAAGTCGTATTGGGATAATTGACAGTGGTCAGTCACTAGGGCTAGTACTGAGAACAATGGTCTTTCAGAAGCTCTCCAAAATGCGCAGCCCAGTGAGCAGCAGTACCCCTTACGTGGTGAGATTTTTCTTTTGTTTATTTTTGAGGACATAAAGGGGAAGGTGTGTGGGTGTTGGAAGACTTTCTAACAGTTCTCAAAGTTGCTGCGAGTGTCAACATGGTCTCTGCCTCTCAGTGGGCAGTTTCAAATGACAGGAGTTCATGATTACAAGATTCTAGGAAAATCAAATTTCTAAGTTTTCTTCTCTTGAGGGGAGAGAGACTAGAGCAATGAAAAGAAGGAGGGAAACAGAATCATGTTGTAGTTGATTGCAGTCTGATTGATGTTGGGCAAATTACATCTGAGGAAAAAGAATTGAGCTTCATTTTCCCTTTAAATCATTTTCACTTGAAATTCAGAATTATCTACAGTGTTAGAATGAAATCTCCCAGCCTGTGCCTTTGGGAGTCTTAGGAAAGAAGGAAGGAGATAAAACTGATGTTTAGCCTTTTTACTGGCACCTGACCCACCCTACCCGATGATGCTCCATTTATTTCTCCAGTTTTCTCTTCCTGCCCCGATGGAGTGTAATATAATGATGTGAAGCTCAGGGAGGGTAAGTGAGAATTTCAAATCAAGCCCTTAATCCTTAAAGTTTTGACAGCAAATAATGGCCCTACACTACCCTCATTCCTTTTTGCCTGACACTAGCCTTAGATTCTTGCATTTTAGCGATGAGATGGAATAATTCACACAGTCTTTAAGTTCTATTTCACATGATTACTATATACCCTCCTGAGGCTTATATCTGGATCTAGAGTCAAGAGAAATTACAAAACAAAAATAAGCAATCCAAAGTGAACGGCAGCTTCTCTGACCTGCGTCTCTGACACCCCGCACCACTGGGCTCCCCCGCCAGCTACCAATTTCTTGTTCAACCCTCGGGTCCTTAGAAAGCCTTTCACTGAGTTCAGGGAATTAGAAAGTAGATTCGTTATTATGGTAAGACAGTCTGAGTGATGGGGAGAAATTGGGTTTCTAATCAAAAAGCAGTTTTTGCAGCCCAAGAGAAAGGAACCAGAATATGAGAACAAGACCTGTGTCTAAACCCAGGTCTGCCTAACATTCATTATAGGAAATGTCAGTGTTCCTCACCCCAGCTCGCCTCCCCAGCCATTGTGTTCTTCCTGGAGAGGCCTCTCAATAAACCGGGAGTTAAGTGTTCTATCTTAGAAGCAGCTATCAGTCACCTGTCACCCTCTTCTCCTGCTCTGACTCAGCTCTCCCATTGTAATGCAAGAGATTTCATGCTTGCATTCTTATCCAGCAGGTCAACTATTATTAGCTTCAAAGGGAATGGAGACTTGTGCACCAGGGGCCCCGATCTCATCAAGGGCAGCTTTGTAGTTCTCTGAGCTTTGGGGTCCCTAGACAGGGAGCCAGGCTGGAGAGACAGAACACAGATGTTCTAGCCCCAGGCTGGTTACGTGTAAGGTGGCATCACAGCGTGCTCCTGGGACACCCGACAGATGTTTTTTGGAGCTGGCACCAAACTCTTCGTGGAGCCGCGTGAGTGGATTTTCCCCCCTATATTTTTAGGGATAAGCTGTATTCTGGGACAGGGTTTCCATCCAATTTTCAAGACTTGAGAAAGTCTAAGTAGGAGCTGGAGTGGTACAAAAGTGGATTGGGCCCACGTGAAGACATCATTAGGTTGAGTCACAGAAGCAGCTCTATAATATAACTCCTTTTATTTTTTAATATAATCCTATTTCCACTTATTTCTCAACTCTTCAAAGAAGCTTTGAACACACAAAGAAATTTAGAGTTATACTAAGAGCATATAGATGCTGGAGAGCAAATGGCAAAATTCCTTTGGCCCAAATTCTCTGGAAAGTTACTTCATTGGGATACACAACTCTCTGGTCAATCAGGCAAACATTCGTGCCTTGTTATCAAATGTCCTTCAGTTTGGAAAATTCAGGAGAGGTGGGCAACGTGGTCAGAGTAATCAGGTTGAACAAACTTAAATGTTCAAGTTAGAGTCCATCTTGGTAGAGATCCTTGAAATTATGACTGGTTTTTGTTAGCAATGTCGCCATTCTTCAGGAACCACTATGTATCTCACTGTGAATCTAAAACAGAGATGATTTCTGAGTTTCTAAATTAAGAAAGATGGTTGAAGAATGGTCAACACTTCTTTTTATATTGTTCACCAGCACATAATTGTAAATGTGGATTGGTACCTGTAAAAAGAGTAATCCAAAAATAAACAATTGTTCCCAACCAAAAAAGTAATTTTGAATCACAAGTTAAAATGTAGTTACAGGGGCTGGAGCGATAGCACAGCGGGTAGGGCATTTGCCTTACAAGCGGCCAACTCAGGTTCAATTCACAGCATCTCATATGGTCCCCTGAGCACTGCCAGAGGTAATTCCTGAGTGCAGAGCCAGGAGTAACCCCTGTGCATCTCCAGATGTGACCCAAAAAGAAAAAAAAAGTAATTACATCTGTGGGCCAAGAAGGAAAGCTGGAAGGTCTCAGACAATACACAATTAAGCTTTTAATTTAAATTTTGGACTACCACGGTGCAAATCTTCTGTGACTTTGAATTTTGGTTAATATCAAATATAAAGTAGACAGGATTTCATATGGCAACAACTGTATTTAAAGTATTTTTTTAAGTTTTTATTCAGTGTGATAGATTTTTTTGTTTTGTCATTATATGCCCCCCCAATGGATTCAATAAGATGCTTTACTTTTATACAGTTCTCTAAAACAGATAGCCATTGACTGTTAAAGATGGTCTAAGAAAAATGTTTCACCCAATCAATGCACAATGTTAGATCTGAAAAGCTGACTTTTCTGATCCAATAATCAATATCATAAATGTGTAAACTTCTTTAGACATCTGTCTTGTCAACTATGTTATGTTGTTCAAATTATTGGAGCCAGGTCTCTCTAGTCCAAAGTGCTCATTGACAACTGCCTTTGAATTCATCTTTTAAAACCTCAGGCAAGTCTTAATTATCCAACACTGGGTCATACTTTTAAAGTAACCCAGGAGATAAAATTGTTCTGTTTTTGTATTTTAATGGACTTTACAAGTTTAAATGCTCTTGAAAATCAGACAGACTGCATTTCACCAAAGTTAGTTTAGTGAACAAAAAATTAAGAAAGGTGAGAGAGCAAAACCGGTGGTTTTCAAGCCGTTACTGCTAGGGTTATCAGCATCTGTTATCAGTGGCTTCAGCAATGCCAGGAAGAAAAACAATCTGCCTGTTTTCTCAGACAGACTAAAAGCAGGTTCCAGGCGAGTGCTTTGAAAAATCCACAACCCATCTCTCGTCTAGTACTAAAGTCAAAAATATAAAGAACCAGATTCTTAGGAATGAGTCTTCTGCTTATGTGACTAGACTAGAGTCCAGTCTTTTAGCTGAGCTCCCTGACAGAAATAATTGAAGAATTACGATGGTGGTTGTGAAGGGACTTCTCTGAATAGCTGGTTCCTAGGAAAGCCCCAAGGAACTTAAAAAGTGGCAGTCAGCAGAAACTTCCTGACAAGCAACTGTTCCCTATCAACTTGATAGAATCCACTGATATGATGATAGCTCTGCTACTCTAGGCTACACAAGAGAAACCCAGATTCAAATTTAGAGTTAGAAATATAACTGCATTTATTTACTCAAATGCGGCCACATGATATCTTATTATCTCATTCTTGCTTTGGACAACCTGGCAGTCCACCGAATGCAACCTGCCCACATGGCATAGTCTGTCAAACTCCCCGTGGCATACACATTATGCCAAATACCAGTAACAATGATGGGTCTCATTCTCCTAACCCTGAAAGAGCCTTGAATATGGCACTTTAAAATCTCAGGGCTAGGATGAAGGAGACATTACTGAGGCCTGCTCGAGGCAATCGACGAACAACAGGATGATTGTGATCGTGATCGTGATTTACTCATTACCAGGACTTTTTGTTTACTTTACATCTTGACTGTAGATCTAAATCATTTCTTTCTATAAGTATTAGAAGCACACTGGAATTCAACATTTGGGAGTGCAAGGTTGGACCACACATGGCAGGGCTTAGGACTTACTCAGGGATCACTCCTGGCAATGTCCAGGTGCCAAGGATCCAAACCCTGGTCAGCTGCATGAAGACACAACTGCACTATCTCTCTGGCCCTTGACATATTTTTATTTTGATATCAGGAAGCCAAACTCAAGTACATTTTAGATCCCAAAACCCATAATTACAGAATCATTGTGTTGAAAGTCAGCAGTTAAGCCTATAATTAGAAAAAGTTCAGATCACCCATTGACAGATTGGTTGCCTTTCCTAACTTAAAGCATTTTCAGGAGTCTTTCCTTAGTAGTTACCTAACAAGAGCAAAACTCCATAGACAACAACACATCACAATTCAGAAAGTTCTATAAGTCACAAGGGGAAAGATTCATTCTAACTCCCTTAACATTTTACGACTTCTGGTTTTTAGGTCAGAAAAAAAGATGGAAATGCAGGGAAGCAGATAAATGACAGTCCAAGGAACCAAGCCAGGAGGAGACCCAATTATTGTGACTAAGAGTCCACAATTACACTGGGAATAAAATAAAAACAAATGAGCTTATAGTCCTGTCTATAAGGACTTCTGAGAATAATAGCTGCTATTCTCTGGTTAAAACTCCAGTGAAACTATGAGGTAGACCTTACAAAAGAATAGGTATTAACCTAAATGCAAAGATATGTACCCACTTAATTTTAGTGGGTCCCTTCCAGTCCATAAGTCAAACATGACATCCTAAAGTGATGCCTCTACCACCCTCTTTGCCTGAACAAGTTGGATAGTCCTTCTCACACCCTCAATTCTCTCCAAGCCTGAACACTGATCTCCCACCAAGAACTCATATTTTTAAAACAAGCCAAGTGAAGCAGAAAAATATTCAACCTAACCTCAGTTACCCTGAGGATTGATTAATAAAACAGACCTCATTGAAAGTCAGATGATCCAGAAACTTTCTATAGTTTTTTTTCCCATCTCTGTCCCAGCCACATCTCTTAGCAGCTACTATTTGTGAGTGGAACGAACTGTCTTTCATTTTTGTTTCCCCTGGCCATCCTCTCTTGGAGATGCAAGCAAGTGCAAGTTCCTAATAGAATGCAGGATTGTACTATTTGGCTTCAAAGAACCCAAGCAAAACAACGTTGCTTAACTCCTATATTTTGTAGGTAAGCATCTCACTAATTGATTGTATTTGCAGAACAACAACCTCCTGCCAAACCATCTGTTTTTGTCATGAGAAATGGAACGAATGTCGCTTGTCTGGTGAAGGATTTCTATCCCAAGACTGTAAATATTAGGCTCCAGTCATCCAATGTGATAAAAGAATATGACCCGTCTGTCGTCCTCTCTCCCAGCGGGAAGTACAGTGCTGTGAAACTTGGTCAGTATAAAGATTCAGATTCAGTGACCTGTTCTGTTCAACATGACAATAAGATCGTGAATTCCACTGACTTTGAACCAAAGACAAATTCTTTAGGTAGGTCACATCTAACCTCAAAGTACTGGAGTTTGGGCTGGGGGGGTGGGGATGGTAAGTTGTGGGGAAGAAGAGTTCAAAGTATAAAGTATAAGTTCTTAACAAGAAATAATGCTAAAACACATACACACAACAAGAAGACTAAAGTCCAACTATAAACTGTCATTGGCAACTGAAATCTGCATCCCTGAGCTGAATCTGATACTATTTTCCTATTTTATCCCCATCTCTTTCTGTCAACCACTTCTTACATTAATGATTATCCTATCACTATACCCTGAGATTGCAAATCTTTGTGTAGTCTACTCTAGTGTAAATGAAAAAGAAAAAAAAAGAAGAAGCTTATCATGGGGTTAACAATTCTATTTCTAACTACAGATGAGAAATTTGCCTGAATGTTGGTCTCATGGTAGAATGTAAAAATGCAGGATTGTATGTTGACTGTGTAAATAGCTGCATGACCTTACCCAAGAACTCTGATCTTCAATTTACTTGCCTGAAGTCTCCTCCTGTTTTAAACCTTGAAGTAAATCCCTGAGCCTCTGGTTTACCACATCACTCTGAATGCTTCTCTTTGTTCCAGATACTGTTCCAGATACTGTTTCGGATAATAGTCCAGATAGTATCCCAGATAATGTAAAACCAACCGGATCTGATAACACAAACCATGTTTCTGTGAGCATCCGTAAACTTAAAGGTTAGTTGAAATCAAAACCAAATCTATAAATGTCATATTGGACCAAAAAAAACTCCTTTATTAAATGAAAATAAAAACTATATCAGAATCTAGTTTGCTCCTTTGAACTCCCAGCAGAGCCAGCCTGGCTACAAGCATGGTTTTCCAAAACTTGCCTGGCCAGTCTGAACAGCAGCCTTACGTCTCTAAAGGGACCTCACTGGGTTTGCAGCTCAGGAAAAATAATGATGATGATGATGATGATGATGATGATGATAATGATAGTGATGATGATGGTGATGATGATAATGATAATGATGATGGTGATGATGATGGTGATGATGATGGTGATGATGATAATGATGATGATAGAGATGATGATGGTGATGATGATGATGATGATGATGATGATGAAGAAGAAGAAGACTCAGGAATGGCGAGTGCTGCACTGTGGGCCTAGTTGCTGGAAGTCTCTTAGTCTCTTGCTGAAACCACCATCTTCACTCTTGTCGATTGCAGTTCACCCCGAGAAGGTGAACATGATGTCTCTCTCAGTGCTGGGGCTCCGGATCCTATTTGTCAAAAGTGTCGCCATCAATATTCTCTTGACTGCCAAGCTATGCTTCTTTTAAGGTAAGAATTAGCAGTTATGGGTCAAAGAAATGAAGCAAAGAGCTAATGTACATCTTTTGCTTGTGGAAAACTTGGGTTCAATCCTTAGCATGGCAAAATTCCCCCAAACACTGTAAGGAGTACCTCCCCCACCAAAATAAAATTAACATTTTTTAAATTCTTATTTCCACCAAAACTATGTAATCTATGTAAGGTAAAGGTAAAGGCCCTCCCGTTGATCGTCGATTTGCTCGAGCGGGCCCAGTAACGTCTCCATTGGAGACTTTGTTGTTACTGTGTCTGGCATATCGAATACTCTCGGTAGCTTGCCGGGCTCTCCGAGAGGGGCGGAGGAATCGAACTCGGGTCGGCCATGTTGGCTGCGTGCAAGGCGAACGCCCTACCCGCTGTGCTAACTTTTGAAATCATAAGAGACCAAGAAATATCAGGAATAAATGAACACATTACAAATAAATAAGAGGGCCCATCTAGTTATTCTGCATAACACTTCTCATCCCACAGCTACTGTTATCCTTTTATTTCAAGCAGACTTGAAATTTATAATGTAGTATAATGTCACACTATTCAATAAGTTCCACCTCCACCCTGAGCTGAAAAATTGGTGCTTAAATAAGAAGAAACTGTTTTCTTTGCTATATTGTTTATCTGCCTACAAGAGGTGAGTTATTTGCAAGAGCATTGGTTTGAAAAAAAAAGAACCCTCATCTAAAGAATATTCAGGAGGATGGGCAAGAGAAATAACACAGGGTTTAATGTGCTTGCTTCAATGTAGCCAGCCCTAGCTCTGCATGTTCTTCCAATCACTTCCAGGAGCAATCTCTGAGCATAGAGGCAGAAATAGCCCCTGAGCAATGCCAGGTGTGGCCTAAAAACAAACAAACAAAAAGAATATTCAGGGGGAGTAGAATCTTCCTTTGTCTAGACAAAGGGGACACCAGCTCCTAGTCCTTAATCAAAAGAGTTGTAGACCAGCTTATCTCTAGGATGAAACTATGCCCTCATTCATAAGAGCCCACTATTGAAACTCAAAATATGTACAAAATTGGGGGTAAGAAGTTAATTATTTGCCTGTTACTTTTATTCTCTCTTAAGTCACGTTAGACATAAAATTTTAGCTATTTGGTCTACAAAGACCCTAATAAAACTCAGTGCCAGTTCCTGATCTAGAAATAACCCTATACTGATAGACTGTTGGATTGATCTAACCCAGCCTGCAAGCACACCAGGTCATTCCTGAGCAGTGGTCCTGCTGTTATTTTACCAACTGTCCCAAGAATACAGGCAGCGCAGCTACACAAAAATATTACAACATAGAAGTCTCAAGATCTGACTTAAGTCCAGTCACCAATTTACTGTTACCTTGGCCAAATTGCTGGACATCTCTGGGCTTGGGCTTTACATCTCTAAAGCAACATAGTTAAAAATGATTGAAAAAGAGCAAATGGTTTTATGACTTGTCCGAACATTGCTAAATTGATACCAACTGGCAAAGCTTATTGCCATGTGTTTAATGTGCCGTGATACACTTCAGATGTCTGCCATGGCAAAAACCATCCCAGATGGCATGACCACCATGATTCCTTCCAGAACTGATAGTCTAGGATTACCCAGAAACTCTGACAGAATGCCCTTCCTTACTCACAGACTGACCTATGGCATAAGGAGGTCTCTCTGGAAGAACCAGAAGTCTGCAGAAGTGCTATCTCCTAGGCTTCAACTTCCGGCTGATTCAAGTCCACCTCTTCTAGTCTGGCTTCAATGGCTGCTAACCAAGTCAACTTCTCTCTGAAGGCAACAAGCTCAACTCATCCTCCATCCGAATATAAATTCAAATGCCTTGCGAATGTAGGCTTTGTACCGAATTGCTTCATATGCTGCTTTTAAAAGGGATGTAAAAGGGATATATTCATATCATGTGCTTTTATAAATGTAAAGGACTTTTTAAAAATTTCTAAACTGAAGACTGAAAAGACATTTTGTTTCTTTGATTTTGTTTGCGCCATAAGTAGGAAGTATGTCCCGCTGGTTTCTATCTACATTCTCTGAGAGGAAAACAGACCCTGAATAATGAAGAAAGATAACCTCTACCCAAGTAGGAAAAGTTCGGCTAACCCAGGCACTAGGTTTGCCCAAAATTCTGCCATTCCTTTTTATTGGCTTGTCCTACCTGAGTTTACTTCAGGTACCACTAGAGACATTGTATGATGAGGTGGGGTCCAGAGTTGCTGAAGTCACAAAAACATTTTCTTCTTTTCTAGTACTTTACTACTAAATCACCCTTGACTTCCTTAATACCATAATCCAGATAAACAACAGGGGTTTCTAAAATCTCATCTAAAATGCTCTTCAAGCTATTAGCAGAGATCAGAGTGAATCAGAGTGTAAAAAAATAGGGCCTTCTTTCTAGTGACTGATTTAACCAACATATACTGACCCCCACATCTGAGTTCCAGGCAGTGTGCTGAGGGTGCAAAGAGGTGTAAGATATGGGCCTTGCCCATTGGACAGTCAGGCTTGGGCCCGCAGTGACGAAACTTGTTGGGCCTCACGGGATGGGAAGGGGAGGGGGGGCCGGGCCTGTCCTCCCCACCCCAAGGAGACCCCAAGTCATCGCCCATGAACGGCCTCTCTGGCTCCTCATCAAGCTGCTCAACGGCCATGATCCCAGAGACTCAGGAGCAGATCTTGAAACCCAGTGGCTTTTGGCAGAAATCCCTCCAGATTTAAGTGTTAAAATTTCGGAATTTCAAAACCACATAGCCCTACTGCAGCCACATGACATCATATGTTATTCATAACTAGCAATAGAACACAAATTGTCTATTGTTGCCTTTTCAGCAGATCTGAGTGTTGGGGTAAAATCTCAAATAATGGTGGGTCTGGTGTTGAAATAGTGAATGTGATCAAAGTAGAGAGAGAGTAATGTGGAAATCATCTGCCCCACAGGCAGGGGAAGGGTGTGGGATGGGGGTATACTGGGACTTTTGGTGGTGGAGAATGGGCACTGGTGAAGGTACGGGTGTTTCATTGTATGACTGAGACTTAGACCCAAAAGCTTTGTAACTGCTCTCACGGTGATTCAATAAATAAAATTATAAAAAATGGGGGGGGAAAAGTAAGGTGGAGTTCATGCACAATTCAATCAGCTAATCAGTGGCTGAATAAATAGCAGTACTCCTACAAAAAAAAAGATATGGGCCTTGCTTTCAAGCAACTCACTGTGCATGTGAATTTTGGGAGGGAGGTACAGGAATGAGTCAGGGGAATTGCCCATAAGAACAGTATCTTGAGTTCAGAGCGATGGTACAGCAGGTGGGGCACTTGCCTTGCACACAACAGACATTCATTCTATTACCGACATCCTATATGGTCCCCTGAGAACTGCCAGGAGTAATCTCTGAGTGCATGAGCCAGGAGTAACCCCTGTGCATAGCCGGGTGTGACCCAAAAACGCCAAAAAAAAAAAAAAGACCAAACTGAGCTTATAGGTCACGCCACAGCTTCCTGAGTCCCCAGCCTGCGGGTCTCCTTCAGCCCAACACCCAGCTCTAGGTTTCCTGCTCTTGCTGCTGCTGCCACATCAGGATCAGTGGCGTGGCCCCCGTGTGGTCTCCCTGCTCTGCTTCTCCCCCCTCAGCAAGGCCACAGCTTTTCTAGGGACACCTAGTCAGGTAGCAGAGCCCTAGCAACCCCATGTTGTGGTTTTCTCAGTTTCTGTGTGGGTTATCAAGCGGGAGCTGATAGGGTTAGCAGTGAAAGAGAAACCATGAGCAATAAATTCCCCTGCCATTGCCATGGGCGAACTTCCCTTCATGTCTTCTCCATCCAAACCCAAATGGGAGGTTCAGTGATTTCCAATACTGTTAATGATGCCTTCCCATGCACATAATTGCAACACCACACTCCTCACTAGTGTACCCAAGGGATTGTGCATTTTTAAAGGGAGAAAGTTATATTTCTTTATTCCACAAATATTTATTGACTGTCTATTATGTGACCAACATAATCACAGGGGCTGGGGACATATCAGAGAAAATAAAAACAAACAGCAGTGGCATTTCTGTGGAAGTGTGTGTGGAGGTCATGAGAGAGAGGAATAATAAACATGTATAAATGAGATGATTTCAGATAGTAATGTGAGGGGAAGCAAGATAAAGATGTAATTGAGGGCAATTCTGGGTAGCTGGGGAGCTGATTGGAGGCAGCAGCACTGTAGGTGTTTAGGGGACTCTTGATAGGTAAAGCCAAGACCATCCAGGGAAAAATTAGTCCAAGATTCCACACAACATCAACATTGAAGGCATTAAGGTAGCCTATTGCAAACACGTTCATACCTGTTACCTAGGGTCACCAGACCATGTTTCTCTGAAGTTGCTAAAAACAAAAAGATCATATTGCACTTTTCAGCTGGGTACAAAAACATTCCTCCCTTAGGCAGAGGAGATAGTACAGCATCTAGGGCATACACCTAGCAAGTTGCCAACCTGGGTTTGATTCCCAGTGCACTGAGCATTACCAGGCATACCCCTGGAGGCCTTTGAGCACCAATGGGATGGCTCTGGTGTTCCCTGGCTGCAGAGAGCCTGGTAGCACTGAACTTAGGCACAGTTGACTGTCACCTGAGAGGCCTCTGAGCCCCATGCATCACCACTTGGGAGACCCCCAAAATATAATTCCTCCTAAAAAGGTATGTACCTTATTCAAAGTCGGTTTCAGGACCATTGCTGGGGAAAGAACCAAATTATCAAAACATGCCTGCCCCGAGCTTCTTCTACATAAGCATACAGCTCCCCCCCCCCAAATAATGGCAAGAGTTGGAAGACTACACTGAACTTCAGGGTATACAATTGAGCCACCCTCTTACCCACTTTGATGATCCGAAAATAGGGTTCCGCACACTTCAAGGACATGAACTTTCCCACCCAGAGGAGCACCCAGAAAAGATTTAAGGAGATCCAGATGGGACAGTGGCTCCCTTCTGGTCTGGGGGCATCATACTGAGGGTGAGAGTATGCCAGAGCCTCAACCTGCAGCTTATCAATTAAGCCCATGCTGCCCAGAAGGTTCTAGGCTTGTCGCATCCCTCAGCCAAGGCTACTGGCTTCCTCTCCTGGGTTCATTCCAGCCACTCCATGTTGACTGCTCTTCACCCCCTCTCCTGGAGCCCAGAAAAGCTGCGACCCAAAGTCTCTGCTGCTGAAACCTCCTAGGTACAGTGCAGAGAAAGGCCTGGACAAGCCAGGCCACACACACACAGCTCTACCATGCATCTGTTCACTGCTTGGACCTCAGAGTGTGTACTAAAGAATAACCTCTACAGCATCTCCTGTCTCTGAAAATCCAGCCAATACTCCACTCCTTGACTAGTGGTCTCATGACAGAGAATTCAACAGAAGTGAAGTAGGGGAGGAGGACAGCTTCGGAGGCGGTGCTCTATTTTGACTTGTATCATTGACTGCCCCCAAGGAGAATACTCTCCTCAGGAGTCACTATGGAGCTCCAAAGTCCAAGAGATTTTGAAGCTAGAATTCTGGGGTTCACAGGCAGCTTTCTGGAGTTTCTCGATACACTTCCAGGAAAGAAAAATGTTTTCTATATAAAGTAAGTATAATGGAGCTATCAATAAGTATCCAGGAAAAATAAAGTGGCTACAAGGGGAAAAAAAGACTCAGAAAAGATATGACAGGGAAATTTTTTTAAAGTAAAAGACTTTGTGTTCAACATGAATCCTTTTAAAAAGTTGCATCAAAGTAACATTTCATAGGTCTTTAGTATTTATTTATTCCTTTTGGAGGGGATGGGGTACAGTGCTGGGGAGAAACCCTAGGGACTCCCACCTCAGAAGCATACACCCCACAGCTTCGGGCCAGCTAGGCTCTGGGTGTGGGTGTTATAAACCACAACTTTATATGCTACACTGTGTCCACCACTAAAAACCATTGACTCCTTTTCCAGGATTTACCAACATTTTCGTTTGCTGCCCCAAGAGGGAGCAGAGTTTGTGTGCAGAGGACCCCTTACTCTGCATCCCATTTGACTCTTGAAAGAGAAACAGACAGTTCCCAGGGACTGGCAAAGAATGGAGAGCACAGAGACACGCTGAGGGCCTCTCCATGGACTGGCCTCCTCTGCGCCTTTCCACTACCTCATGACCTATCATTGGCAGGGTACCCTGTCCTGGGGACCCAGCTCCCTCCTGAGAGCAGGGTCATCCCTCACAAAGCCACATGGAGTCTCCCCAGAGAATCTCTGCTCCACTGGGAACCAGGGTGCACCCTGCACATGACTACGTGACAAAGGTGACTCCGCGGACACCACAGGGCCCCTCTAAAGGTCATGAATAGGAGCACCAGGACTAGGAAGAAGGGCACAGTGTCCAAGGACGTGGGCAGCCCCAACAGGGAGCAGGGTTTGTGTGCAGACTTCCTGGGCACCTGTTTCACCGTGGTAGCTGAGGGCACAGTAGTAAGTTGCACTGTCTTCAGTCTGTGCTAAGGATATCACCAAGTGGAAAGTTTTTTTTCTGTTATCATGTTGCACAGAAAATCGACCCTGAGTAAAATGTGCATCAAAGGAGTAACTGTTATCCTTGTAAAAGATGAACTGAAAGGAATGGTCTGGGTGTATTCGATACCAAAACAAGTCTGGATTACTGTGATCTGTGGTGTAAGTGCAAAACAGCACCACCCGGCCGCCTTGTACCACTGACTGGACCTGGAATTTCTGGTTCACTGAGTTACACTCTGTGCCCTGGCCTGCAAAGAGAAAAACGTGAGAAAATTGTGATGTCCCGACACCAATAGGCTCTGGCCTATTGCCATCTACACAGGCCCACCCAGGATAAGCCCAGGAAGCAGAGGCAGGAGAGGGGTGCAGAGCTGAAAGGCAGAGAAAAGTTAGGAGAGCCAGAATGACAAAGAAAGAGGTGAGCAGACTTGGAAAGTCAGGTGTGGGAAAATGTGATGACAGAGG